AATTTATCTAGTGCTGTGTGCTCCTCATTCCTACTGTTTTGTAACTTGTGATGCTACACTGACATTTCCCCACTGTGGGACGAATAAAGGACCTCTTCATCTAATCTTAATCTCAACTCACAAACTCAATGCAAAAATCTTAATAAATGAAAGGAGAAAAAGTCCATCCATTCATTTTCTTCTGCTTCATCTGTTGCCGGGTCGCGGGGGCAGCCGTCTAACCAGTTCAAAAAGTGCTACACCCAGTTTTTCTAATAATACTGAAATAAAACGGTGTGTATTTGGTGATTACGCTGCGTACAGAGCCCTCTCTCCTGCAGCCCTGGGTCTCCCACATCTGGGCCTGTCTCTCTGGGGCCTCTTCTCGCCGTGCGGCCGGTGGGAGGTTAAAACCATTGCTTTTGTTATTTCACACAAAAGATTCATCCCCGTCGTCTGTGAGGGCAGAGGGCAGAAGTTCACAGAGGAAAATACACCCGCTTTTAGTTTAATAATCCTTGCTACAATATGTTTTCACTCAATAAAAAATCCAGCTCCATTTATTTTTGTATAGCCCTAAATCACAACAGTAGTAATCGCTGAGGACTTTACAAAGTTATCGATTCGCCGACACAGATCAGAGAATCAATTAGTTCAAACAATAATAACAATCCATAATACCAAAAAAATAATAGCAATGGTCCATAGGGAGAGATTTGACCAATTTCCATAAATGTCCTTAAACGTCTCGGATCATCACTGTCCTTAGACCTTTCTGCATCTGCAAGAAACAACTCAAAAACCCAGTGGGAAAATGTGAGAAACCTTGATCCGCTCTCAGGGACGGACAGGCTGTATAGATCCAGGACTCAGCTGTAGATCCAGGACTCAGGCTGTAGATCCAGGACTCAGGCTGTAGATCCAGGACTCAGGCTGTAGATCCAGGACTCAGGCTGTAGATCCAGGACTCAGGCCGTAGATCCAGGACTCAGGCTGTAGATCCAGGACTCAGGCCGTAGATCCAGGACTCAGGCCGTAGATCCAGGACTCAGGCTGTAGATCCAGGACTCAGGCCGTAGATCCAGGACTCGGGCCGTAGATCCAGGACTCAGGCCGTAGATCCAGGACTCAGGCCGTAGATCCAGGACTCAGGCTATAGATCCAGGACTCGGGCCGTAGAATGAGGGCCGAGGCAGGACTGAAGAATCGATATGTTTTAAGGCTGTAAAACTCCTCACACACACTTCATACACTTTTCTAACCACCTGAACTCACTACTGTGCGATCGCAGATATCAAACCTGTTGGTTGCAGGTCTGAGCGCTGCTGCAGCTGTCAAAAACAGAGCATAAAATACAGCTTCAGAGGGGCAGGAGCAGGACTGAGGACTACAGGAAGACCGCGGTATAGTCCTCCGAACTACTCACAACAATGCACACGAGACACAAAAGTTTTTTACTCGCTCTTAATATAGGTAACTGTCATGTGTTGCTATAGCGATCATATGATATAGATGTTGTATATGAAGTAGATGTTGTACAAAAAATATGAGAAATAACAGTCTTATCTCAGCTTCACATTGTGAGTTTTGAACGGCGACCTTGTATATTATAAATTACGGCCCTAATAAGTCAAATAAAGCATGATTATGAGCTACAGATTCTCACTTTGTCGCCGGGACCATGTCTTCTTTGTGTAATGTTGTAACTCTAATGGAATAATAAGCTTTAATTGATGTTTTATGCGGTAACCTCACAGATCTTAATGAGCTCATAGAACAGAGTGGAGAACGCTCATCCCTGCCCTCTGGAGCTGTTATTGCTGCACTTACAAAGAGCTGGAAAAGAGCCGGCTGCACTTAAAGCTACACAAACCGTATTAACGATCGGAACAGATTGGTGACAAACTGCGCACGTAGAAAAATCAGAGTCCGAAAACCAATCAGGAAGTTAATGAGGAGAGAAATTGCTGCTGTTTGCGTCTCACTGCGGCGAGAGAGAGAGAGAGAGGGAGATAGGGAAGGAGAGAGGGAGAGAGTTAGAAAGGGAAGGAGAGAGAGAGAGAACGAGAGGGAGAGAGAGATAGAGGGGGGAGGGAGAGAGAGGGAGAAAGGCAAGGAGAGCAAGAGAGAGAGAGAGAAAGAGGGGGGGGAGGGAGAGAGAGGGAGAGACAGTGAGAGAGCGAGAGCGAGAAGGAGAGAAAGTGTGATAGAAAGGGGAGGGAGAGCGAGGAAGAGAGAGAGAGAGAGACCGTGAGAGAGAGAGGGAGAAGGAGAGAAAGAGTGATAGAGGGGAAGGAAGAGAGGAAGAGAGAGAGAGAGGGAGAGACAGTGAGAGAGAGAGTGAGAAGGAGAGAAAGAGTGATAGAAGGGGGAGTGAGAGAGAGAGCAAGAAGGAGAGAAAGAGTGATAGAGGGGGAAGGAAGAGAGAGAGCGAGAAGGAGAGAAAGAGTGTGTAGAAGAGGGAGGGAGTGAGAGAGAGAGGGAGAAGGAGAGAAAGAGGGATGAAGGGGGAGGAAGAGAGAGCGAGAGAGAGACAGTGAGAGAGAGAGCGAGAAGGAGAGAAAGAGTGATAGAAGGAGGAGGGAGAGAGTGCAAGAGAGAGGGAGAGAGAAAAGGAGAGAAAGAGCGAGAGAGAGGGAGAGATAGTGAAAGAGAGAAAGAGGAGAAGAGTTTTGACTGAACACTTCTCACTTGTCCAGCTGAAACCACACAAAGACACAAATGAGGGAGTTTGGGGGAAAAAATATAATATGATTCCATCTGTTTTTTTGATGTTCAAATGCAACACAACTAGGCGTCTGTGACGTCATTGACTGTATTTAAAAACCCCAGTGTGATACTAGTATTTGTAATTTCAATTTCAGGGATTTTTGTTTTAGTGCATTAGCAAAAGAATAAACAAAACTGACATGAAATACCGTATGTTGATCATGAAATGTGTATGAAGTCTCGTCAAGATCCAACCACTTTTCAAACTGTGCATTTCTGTCTGTTTGAAAAGTTTGAAAAAAAAGCGTTGAGAGAAAATCAAACCACAGGAATATTGATTATGGATTAACTTTTGCATTGCTCCCTAAGCACTTTTGGACTTGTGAGTGTATTCAGTGCAGATTATTTGATGAGATGTTTGAGAAACTCCATGTACTGGATACTTTACTTTACTTTTATCAGTGCAATTGTTCCATTCAGACATTGGCGTTTGGCGACAAATAATGTTTTTAGTTGAATACACCGCCATAATTTGAATACATTCTGTCAACAGTCATGCGACGGAGATTATGTTTTGGCTGCAATAAGGTCCACAGTCCTGAATGTTCAAGGATAAAGTTTATGCAATACCCCCCTAAGTTTTTCCATTCTCTTTATTCACAAAACTTCATAGTCATACAAGTCATACATACTCTATATGTAACGTTTGAGTTCCGTCTTATTTTTCTTTTGAATAACGTGATGTATCGCAAAATGTCGCAGAATCGAATCGCAAAACTTGCTGTATCGCTATATCTTAAAAATTGCAATAATATTGAATTGTGGCCCAAATATCGCGATACTTTATCTTTTAACTCTATCCTGAATTTATTTATCTATCTATTTATGTATTTATCTATCTATCTATCTTATCTACTATCGAATCATGACTTTTTTCCCGAATTCCCACCCCTAAAGTATACTGTATATACACCAGAGAACAGGACCAGTGCTGCTTTGGCCCAGCCCTCACTGACACATGTGTAATGGACTGTCCAATCCCACACTAACACAAGTCAGAGAGAAGAGGAGAAATATGATTATTTACTCTGGGGTCATCAGTGCTTCTCTGTATTCAGCGGCTGAAGACATAAATACCACCAGACCGATGCACAAAATCAGGATTTACAGCAGATTGAATCAGCAGATTGAATCAGCAGATTGAATCAGACGACAGAGTTCAAAGCGAGAGGCCTTTTACAAGAAACAACAGCGTGACCATTAAAATACAGACGTCTCAAGCAGAAAACTATCCCAGTCTGAGGCCATTAGGACCACAGCAGGTTTTAACACCCGCTCCACACGGGCGCAGCCAAAGGGAAACACGAGTCTAACTAAACATATTTACACACTAAGTCATTTACAAGGGACATACGAGCTCTGAGATCAAGGCCTGCAACTAACGGTTATTTTTATTACTGATTAGTATTTCATTGATTCCATCTCTCAATGCACCAAAAATATGGAACATAAATTGATTACTATTGCTGTTTTTTTGTCTATTTTTTTGTTTTTTGTGATGATGATTATGGGAATGTAAAAGTGCCCGTCAGGAGAACCACATTCGGATAGTCGGTCTTCTCGGTCCAGGGGGCAAAGCTCTGGAACTCTTTAAGCCCTCAGCTAAAACTGAACTGGTTTTAAACAAGAACTGAAGCGATTTTTAAAATGAAGCAGTTGTGTGAGCATCAATGAGTTGGATGACACCTGCATTTGTATAATGTGAATATTATAATGTAAAATGTGTTTTTAATTGTGTTAAAGGCCCTCCTACGGACAGACATTGCAAATTTGCCTTGGCTATAAATGTTGTAGTGTTTCACATGTTGATTGTGTACACTTGTCCCTATCAAAAAATCAATAAATAAATGATGATGGTGGAAAAAATCAGGAATGTCAGGTGAAAATCTTTTTGTGTCGCTTAAATGTAGTATTGAAAATGAGGAAGGCACATATAAGTTTCTTGCTTCGGCCTTCTCCTTTTGAGCTTTGTTTCTTGAAATGATATGGACCTGTAAAAAATACATTACAACAGGAAGTAAAACTCAAAAAGACACAGGAGAGCACATAAAGAATTACAACAAAATAAAACAGGGACTAAAGAATGACTACCATGACATTCTCTGCATGTTTCAGTCAATGTCAGGCTTAGGTCCAGTGCTACATACAGTAGTAATCCTGACAACTGTATCTAATCCTTACAGGTCTTCGATCCAAAACGGCATATTCCCCACTTTGAACATTTTGTGGTGTTTCCTTTGTGTTTCCCGCAGCCTTCTCCAGCTCCGCAGTGAGTGGCCACGAGTCGTCCATGACCTGCCCCTCCATCAGCTCCCTGGTCTCCTCCGATGTAAAGGCCGAGTGCGAGAGCGCCGACGTGGCCAACTTCAGCGTCAGCTCCATCATGGACGACAAATGAAACCAAGTCAGATCTGAAGCCCTGCTCTTTAGGCCTGTCAAGATGTACCGTGCACGGATACGAAATATGTGAATAAGTGAATGAGGTTAAAACGCAATTGTAAACAAGAACAAGCAAGAAATGTCTTGTTTTACCTAAATTGAGAAAACTAAATTAATGTAAACTGCTCTTGTGAAGTGAATGACAATTACTTTTAAAATTGTGAAGTGGGAGTTAGACCCGCCCCCCTTCACCCCTGCAGCCTCCTGATTGGCCGAAACGAATTCAAAATCCTTGAAGCCCCTCGTCATTGGCTTAACTATTCTCCTCCGGCAAATCTTACTGGTTGTCGTTCTGCCAAAGGGGAGGGACTATTTTAAAATATATTAATGTTGAAAAATACATGCTGTATATAATAGTGCTGTGTCGCGTGGTCAGAAATATACATTCTCTATACACATTTTTAAAATTCAGCCAAAAAAAAAAACAGTTTGACAGTTGTAGATTAGCAGAATAAAATCTACTGTATTCTAATTGTATCTTTAGGGGTAAAGTAGTCACAATATTATCATTTATCGCCATAATTCTCAATCACATGGTCCGTCTAAATCTATGTTCTCGCAACTCTCATTTTCAGTTGCCGTGGTTACATTTGCGAACAAGTTTTTACATTTTCTCACTCTTAGTTAGATACAGTTTTAACGTTTTTGATCAATAATGGAATATCCTCAATGTTGTTTTTTATGTTGATGATTATTTTTGTCTTTTTTTTCGCCACAAAGACAAAGTGTTTAGGTTTTAGTGACACGCAAAAGAAACAGACAAACAAACTGTCCTAAACTAAGATAAAAACATAGAAGTGACTTGAATTGCAAATATATTTTCTCTGTTTTCAATGGATTTTAAGCAGGGGTAACTTTCTAAGCACAAAATGTTGAACTATATGTACTAAAATCTGCCTTCCTCGCTCTCAAAACAGTTTCCTTCTTCCATCTGTCACATCTTTAAACAGAAAAGTTTAAAAGGACCACATTCTCTCTGCCCAAATCGTCAAAAAGTGACTCACAGGGCTCTCACGTGAATTTTAATTACTCTCTAATAATTCTAGTTTCAGTGGTCCCTGAACGATTTTCTATTTTTACTCTTAACTTGCAGCGTTGATTGTTGGTTTGCATGAGCTTCCATGGCCTGTTATACCTCATCGTAAAAAGCTAGTTCTCTCAAGAAAATAGCCATATCATATATTTTATTCTGAAATTTGAACCCAGCACATAAATATATATTGTTCATTATGAAATATAGATCATTGACCAATCCTTAAACTTTTTCCCAGTTTTGGTTCAGCTCAAACACACAGTAACAGAACTAGTTTTGTCCAGAAAAATAGAAAATAATATTCAAACAGAAAAATTGAAAATAAAGTAATCCTTTTGCCATCTCCTAGCTTCATAATGTAAAAAATTAAAAATAAAAGAGAGTTTAATATTATTTCAACCCCCGGGAGCTTTTTTTTTTTTTTTATCCGGCCCTGGACTAAAACGAGGTGGACTTCCTTGCTCCAAAGACTCTATGTTGGTGCTATGGAACTGAAATGATTAGAATTATGTAAGAAAAAAGTCAGGTACCCCAGCTTTAAGTCAAATCAAGTAAATATTTTGGCATTTCAAGTGATTTCACTCCCTTCAGATTATATCGCTTGCAGTATGTAGACTAAAATGAATTCGTGTGAAACATTTGCAAAACATTTTAAACCGTCTCTGATAAATGTGTACTTAAACCTTTTGTAGTAACACAACTTTTGACCTGTTTTTTGTTACTAAAATAATATGTATTTTTGTTTTTTACGATCGATGCTGTGTTTCGGAGTCATGGTGTTTGGTCCACAGTGACGCACGTGGCTCTGTAGTTTATTTAGCTTATTATGTTAGCTTTTGTTCTGCCATGATTTCATCCTGTTTTTGTTTCAATAATAACGCCTACAAAGTCCCTCCGGAGTCTGCGTGTTTCTGTCTTTACAATCTGTGTCGCGACTTCGAATACTATCGCTGAAAATCCACTTTTATCATATCATAGTAACCGGCAGCAGTGATGGTGATGGGCTTCTATGGCATGTTATACTTCATTTTAAAGAAGCTATACCTGATTTTTTTTTAATGAGTTCATAAAAATGCTTATTACTACATACAAGTTGTATTATAATTCGTAATTTTATTGAAAACTTGAGCTCATTGAGTCAGCTGTGAATGAATTCAGGCCGTAAAAAGTGCTGAGTAGAGACTTAGCGTGACGCCCGCTCTCCTCCAATCACAGAACAAGGCTGCGTCCTCTAGCCTCTACAGCGCTGCTAAACAAGCATGTTAGCATAAGTCGCTATAACTCCTCTGGCTGTAACTGCAGACACAGCAAAACAGCCCAAATGAGTGAGGAAGAGAAGAGGGAACTAAAGCAAAAAAATTATCAAAGAAGAAATCAAGCCCGGGTGAACATATGTAGCTAGCTTACATCGTACCCTCTGGAGAGATTGGTCCATGGGAGAGACCTGCGGGACCAGTATATATGACTAAATTCGGACGCAAAGTTAGCGGTAATCTTTCAGTCATATATTTTGTTAGCAGTGCGTTGCTTTTGTACCATTTCATCAGTGATTGTTGTACAACTTAACCCTTTAGGCGCCAGAGTTTTTTCAAGATAATATACAATTTTGATTTCAAGATTTCAAAAGGCTATAACTTTAAAATGGTTTGAGATAAAGGCATACTGTAAATTAGAAATATCTTCAGTTTGAACCAAACTTTGGGATGGAAGTTGATTCGTCATCTAATTTGCATATCGTGACGTCATCAAGGTGGCGGCCATTTTGGAAAATGTTAATTATTGTATAAAGACTTCAAAAAGCTGTAGCTTGGGAGTTATTTGAGATCAGGGAATACTATAAACAGTCAATGAGAAATATCTTTAGTATAAAATGAATTTGGGATAGAAATAAATTCCCTGATCCAGATTATAGATAATGTTTTAGCACTGGTTCGCGGCCATATGGAATTGTATTATTTTCAAAGACCTTCAGTGATCAAGACAGCACTCTTTATAGTTTACAGTCATGAAATCTTGAGATTGGTTTCAATATTTCCCTTTCAAAGAAGTAGTGGGCTTACTATTTTTCTCAGTGGAAATGACGCTCGAGGATTTACCGTTTAGAAACAGAGAGATGAAATGAATGGGCTCAGAACATGTCAGATCGTCTCAACAACATACAACAGGCTCTTCAACACTTCTGATCCACTTTTGTGGATTATTTTCTCTCAAGAACTGCCTTCATCCTCATCATCGCTGTTGGTAAAGGCAGTGAACGCGATTAGCGATGTGTTTATTTTTTCCCGCGGCTCTCCCGCGACTTCTCCCGCGTTTCCCGTGTTCCCCGTGGATGTCTACCCCCGCTACTTTCTCCCACATGCCCGGTGTTATGATCCCCCTGTCCCCTCGACCACGGTCCCTGCTTGGCGTTCACAGAATGCTTCTACCGCGGCCACACGGAGGACAAGCAGCCGCTGCACAGGGGCTGATTGTGGACTATATGGAGCGCTGTCTCCCCGTCACCAATAATGTCCGTGTCTGCTTCACTGGACACCTGCATGTCTTCCTCCTCTGAATCTGAGTGAGCCAGTACCAGACCAAGTACTTCTCTGGTACTGAAGACCTCGTGAGTAAAATAAAAAACCCTCTCTCCCTCTGCTCTGCTCTCGCTCCGCTCAGCTCTACCGCTGCTGCTTCGTCTCCGCGCTGCAGCGCCGCAGGTGTTTTACGAACTCAATTTACTCAAAAACTTTCAATATAACCACACCCACAAATGCTGCTCATATTACAGGCACACATGTCCACTAACCCCTGGTGAAAAGTATTAACAAGATTCTGCACCACATTTTTACATACAGCCTGTTTAAGTGAGCAATGTTGCTTGTCGCAATATTGCGACTTTGGCGCTTAAAGGGTTAAGTTGTGCTAATGCTAATGTTAGCATCAGATTGCAAATACAACTAGACTGGCTCCGTGGGATGAGAGCGTAGGAGAAATGAGAAGCCTCTGAACTGAGTTGAGGGCGGTGCTAAACATTCAAACCTTGCAGAAACGGGTATAGCTTCTTTAAAGGGCCCATATCACGGTTTTTGACTTTTCTCTGCTTTAAACATGATTACAATGCTATTTGGTCTTCATACACAAGCCCACAGTAGTTTATTCATTGATTCTGTCAATCTTTTGTAAGAGAACAATCTGTCTCCTTCCCCAGCGTGAGGCACAGAAACGCTCGGGTCCACTTCAGTGACAAAAACCACACTGATGACGCGCATGACCCCGTTTGCTTTGTATTTAAAATAGTTGTTAAATACTTTTGTCAAAACGGGGTAAACGATACACAATTAGTATGCTGTTTTTTGTCAAAAATAATAAAAATAGAAATAAATTAAAAGCCGGCGGGAGGTGATTGACGGATCAAAACAGCGAATCAGAGCGCACAGGCTCCGGCTCCCGAGTCCAGCGTCTGTGGTCTGGTCTCGCGGACTCCACATAGAGCTGCTGTTTTTATGCTTTTGTCAGCAACTAAAAGTGTTAGGATCACGTCAACTTGAATGAAGTGTGTTATGGGTGTAAATATGTGACACACTATTTGGCCCTAAGAGGAAGAAAGCGGCTCGACTTTTTTCATCTGTTCATCTCATGGATCTATTATAAACCGGTTCATCTGCGACCATTCACTGAGACTGTTCCAGAACTACAGGGACAATGGAACTGGACTTACTCAAAGGCTGATCTGGAAACACGTTATTCCCACGGTAAAAGACGTAACTCGGACCCCCTCGATCTGTGAGTAGTTACGCTAACTCGCTGTATACTTCTGTAAACTAAATAACTAGGGTCTGATTGTGCATCGAGGACATAGGGCTCGATGTGACGGATTGTCATTGTTGGAAAAAGTTTATTCTTATGTATGAAATTACTAAGTACAGGTGATAAACGACAAAAGC